ACCAAGGATTTTTGGGTTTTTTCTTGGTTTTCTAGGGTAGTTTTCGATGGGGAATCCGAATTTTGTGTTTAATTACAACCAAATGACTTCCTAACCTTTCAAATGGCCGAGTTTTTGAATTTTCTAGGCCACCAACCCCCTTTAAAAGCCTAAATAGCTAATTTTGGGTCGATTTTCCGCGCCAGAAAAAAACGATTTTCACCATCTAAATGTAGAAAAATGTCAATTTTTCCAGATTTTCCACCCGCAAAGCACCAAAAAATGGCCGCCAACAATGAAGGAGCCACCAGTGGAGAGTGTCGCATTTTTCGTGCACTCAACGAAGGGCAAATTTGGAATGCCGCTTAAGAAGTGAGTGAAATAAACGTAAAATACGAGAAAATCGCTAAAATTAGGTCTAGAAATTGAAAGTTTTGATTTTGAATAAAAAAAAATTTTGAAAAAAAAATTTTTCAAAATTTCAATTTTTGACTTTCTAGACCTAATTTTAGCGATTTTAAGCGATTTTCACACTCTGAAACTCCAAAAATCTACCCAGAAATCCGATTTTTGCAGATTTCCCGAACAAAAATACGATCATCAGCGAATTGTGGTGAAAAAGGCGGAGAACCCGGTGGATTATTCGATTGATGAGCATGATATCACTTGGTTGATGCGGATGAACGCTCATCAAGCGTCCCAGGGGAGGACAATGCTCACGGTGGCCACGTTTGAGCATTGGGTGGATAGACTCGAGAAGAATAGCGTTTGGAAGGTAAAAATAAGTTAAAAATGCCTGTAAATGGGTTGAAATAGGCCTAAAATCGGTCAAAATAGGCGGGAAAAGTTGAAAATTCGGTCAAAAATGATCCAAAAGAGTGAAAAATTGAATACTTCTAGCCTGGCGCGTTTTTTGGAACGGCGAAAATAGGCAAAAATGACGAAAAACGGGATTTTTCGGATTTTTTTTCCACAGAGGCCTGGAGCATTTTTTGTGATTTTTGAGATTTTTTGAATTTTTTCTGAGAAAGAACCATTTTTCAAATTTTCGAAATTTTCTGATTTTTTTTTGTAACTCTGAAGTTATAATGACCTGGAAATTTTGCCGGAAATTGTTAAAAATAGGAAAAAAAATATCTAAAAATCTGAAAATCCCGATCAAAAATGACCCAAAAAATCCAAAATTAGCTTAAAATGGTGCAAAAATGGGTCTAAAGGGATCCAAAATTGGCTTAAAATGGTCCAAAATTGGCCTAAAACGGGCTAAAATTGGCTTTAAAAAATCCGAAATTGTGTTTAAATGGGCTAAAAAGGTCCAAAATGGGCCTAAGGTGGGCTGGAATGGCTTAAAATAGTCCAAAATTGGCCTGAAATGGTCCAAAATCGGCTTAAATAGGCTTAAAAAAGGCTTGAAACGGTCTGCAATTGGGTTTAAATGGGCTAAAAAGATCCAAAAATTGGGCAAAAATGGTTCTGAATGGGCTAAAATTGGCTAAAAATAGCCTAAAATGGTTCTGAATTAGCCTAATATGGGCTAAAATGGCTCAAAAAATCAGAAAATTCGATCAAAAATGGGCCAAATACCTAATTTTCCCCCAAATTTTCAGCCAAAAGAGCACCACAAACTCCGCGATGAGCATGGCGAGGAGCTAGAAGACGTGTGTAACATTTGCCTGGATCCAGACACCTCAAATTGCAATCAAATCGTCTATTGTGATCGATGCAACCTGACAGTTCATCAAGATTGTTACGGTATTCCATTCATTCCAGAAGGATGTCTGGAATGCAGACGATGTGTTGTTTCACCAGCGAAACGAGTCTCCTGTGTGCTGTGTCCATCCAGGTATGCGCCTTTAAACTATAAAAATCGGATTCCCCATCAAAATCTACCCTAGAAACTAGGAAAAAACCAACAAATCCATGGTGGCCGAGTTTTTGGATTTTCTAGACCACCACTTGGAAAGTTAGGCCACGCTCGTTTTTTTGGTCGTTTCTAGACTAATTTTCAATAAGAAACTCAATTTTTAAGTTTATTTTGTCGTAAAATAGCAGAAAAGGGCCTAAAAACCAATTTTCGAATGTCAAGCTCCGCCCACTTTCCAGATTAGCTCTAAAATTGATTTTTGAATGGAAAATAGTCATTTTTCAAGATTTTTCACTATAAAATTCGAATTTCCCATCAAAAAATACCCTAGAAGCTATGAAAAAATCAACAAATCCATGGTGGCCGAGTTTTTGAATTTTCTAGGCCACCACTTGGAAAGTTAGGCTACGCTCCTTTTTGGTCGTTTCTAGAATATTTTGACAGGAAACGAACTAAAAAACTGAATTTTTCATAGAAAAATAGTCTAGTAACAATCAAAAAGAGAACGTGGCCTAACTTTCCAAGTGGTGGCCGAGAAAATTCAAAAACTCGGCCATCATGCTTTTTTTCCGGTTTTTTCATGGTTTCTAGGGTAGTTTTTGATGGGGAACTCGAATTTTGTGTTTATTGACCACCAAAAGACTTGCTAACCTTTCAAAATTCCAACTTTTGAATTTCCAGAACTGGCGCCTTCAAACAAGTGGATCACAAGCGATGGGTCCATGTTCTATGTGTGATTTGGGTCGACGAGACGCATTTTGGGAATACCATTTTCATGGAAAACGTTCAAAACGTCGAAAAAGCGCTGCATGATCGAAGGCGTTGAGTTGTATGCTGTGTAAGCAGCATGATCCGAAACATGCCAGAATGGGAGCGTGTATTCAGGTAAATATAGGGAAATATGAAGAAAATAGATCAAAAATGGCTTAAAATGCACTAAAAACGGTCGAAAACGGTCTTAAAATGATCATAATTGGTCTAAAAGTAGTCCCAAATGGTCTGAAATAGGTCTAAATTGGTCATTTTCGGACCTTTTTTGAGGCAATTTTCAACCATTTTTGACTGTTTTTGGCTGTTTTAAGCCCATTTCAAGCAATTTCAAGACCATATTGACCACGTGTCATCGATTTTTCAGCTAATTTCCCACTATTTCAACCCCCCAAAATCCCCCCCTATTTGCAGTGCTCCGAATCGAAATGCACAGCGTCGTTCCACGTGACTTGCGCACGAAATCATGGCCTAATCATGCGAATCGTCGAACTGGATAATGGATTCGTGAAGAGATTCGTTTGGTGTCCACGTCATCGTCCCGTGGAGACGGAGGCTGATAAAGAGCAACATGAGAGGATGTTGAGGAATCAGAAGAGGGAAAATGAGAGAATGTTGCCGCAGATTAGGTGAGAAAAGCTGAAAATTACACATTTTCAAGTCCAAAATGAGCCGAAAATTCAGATTTTCGAGCTAAAAATTGACTGGAAATTCGCCGAAAAGTGTGCGGAGCCTAATTTGTTTTTTTTTCCTGAAAAACTGAAAATTACAGCTTTTTAGGGTTCAAACTAAGCCAAAAAATTGGATTTTTGAGCTGAAAATGATAGTTTTATGGCTGAAAATAACCCAAAAATTAGATTTTTGAGCTTAAAAGTGGGAGTAGCTTGAATTAAAATTCGAAAATCTGAAAATTCGAGCAGATTAGGTGAGAAAAGCTGAAAATTACAGATTTTCAAGTCCAAAACGAGCCAGAACACGAGATTTTTGAGCTACAAATTGACTGAAAATCCACCGAAAAGTGGGCTTAGCTGAATTATCTATTTTCCCTGAAAAATATTTTTAAAAATAGGAGAATTTTGATGATTGCTCAGCCTAAATTAACCCTAAAATTATTTAAAAATTCAATTTTTCAAAATTTGTTTCAAAATTTGAAAATGAAATTGATTTTTTTTTTTGGAATTATTGAATTTTCAAAAAAAAATCCAAAAAAAATTTCGAAAATTTATGCTGAGCAATCAGCTTTTTAGACGATTTTCAGCTTTGAAAAACGCTGAAAATTCGAAATTTCGACATTGTTTCAGATTTTACTGTAATCGAAGAAAATTTACAGTAATCCTACAGTAACCCATATGAAAATTAAAAAATAAAAATATTTTTTTTTGCGAAAATTTGGAACTTTTTGGATTTTTCAAATTTTCGATCTACAGTAGTCTACAGTACTTCAAGCCTGAGCAATCAGCCAAATTTTACCGTTTTGAGCGCCTGAAAATGATTGGAAATTGAGCAATTTTGGGGATTGCTCAGCTTAAAATTTATGAAAATTCTGGAAAAATGCTGAAAAAATGTGGGCCGCAGATTAGGAAATAAATTTTTCGAAAATTTCGAAAATTTTGATTTTTTTTGAAATTTTCGTAATTTTTAGGTTTGCTGGATTTTAGAATTTTCACTAATAAATTCGACAAAAAAGTTTCAACATTTTATATCGAAAAGCTACAGTAATCCTACAGTAAACCAGTGAAATCGATCCAAACACCAAAAAAAAATCTGGTTTTTCGGATTTTTGAATTTTTCGATCTACAGTAGTCTACAGTAATTTGAGCTGAGCATCTGAATTTGGCTGTTTTTTCAGCTGAATTTGGCTGTTTTTTGGTGATTGCTCAGCATAAAAATTTCTTTACAAAAAATGCAAATTTGCGTCGAAAAAGTCTTGAAAAATTTCGGGTCTACAGTAGTCTACAGTATGCTAAGCTGATCAATCATCTGTGAATTTCTAGGTTTTACAATGATTGCTCAGCTTAAAATTTGAGAAAAAAATTTTGGGCCTACAGTAGCCTACAGTACTTTAAGCTGAGCAATCAGCTGAATTCTGCTGCTTTTAGCAGCTAAAAATGGTTAAAATTGAGCATTTTTTAGTGATTGCTCAGCTTAAAATTATATGAAAACTCGTTTTTTCGAAATTATTAACTTCGGAATTTTTTGGATTTTTTAAGTTTTTGGTCTACTAGTCTACAATATTTTAAGCTGAGCAATTAGATGAAATTGAGCGTTTGAGCAGCTAAAATGACAAAAAAAATGGAGTAATTCTGGTGATTGCTCAGCTTAAAATTGAATAAAAACTCTGAAAAAATTCTGAAAATTGATCGTAAAATCATTTTAAAATTAGGTTTTTCGAAATTTAAAAATTTCAGATTTTTGGAAAATTTTGATTTCACAAAATTTTCCAAATTTTCGTTTTTTTTTAAATTTTCGGTCTACAGTAGTCTACAGTACTTTAAGCTGAGCAATCAGAGGCAAATTTTACCGTTTTGAGCACCTGAAAATGATGAAAAATTGAGTGTTTTTGATGATTGCTCACAGGTTTAAAAGTCGATATTTCGGAAATTTTGAAAAATGCGTTTTTCAAAAAACTTAAGCTGAGCAATGATCGAAAACACCGACTTTTTGGGTTAAAATTGACAATTTTCAGCGTTAAATACACTGAAAATCTCGATTTTTGACCCCAAAATCACTGAATATCGATATTCGGTTACAGTATGCCAACACTGACAAACGGAATCATCAGCCAAATTCAATCGGAACGCCCATTCGCCTATTTCCGTGAAATCGTCCTTTTCTGGTATCAAAAACGACAGAATCGCCTCGGAGCACCGCTTCTGAAGACGTGGACGCCTCCTGAATCGCTGATTATCGATTTATTCAAAACTCCAGAAGGAAGACGTCGTGGCTCATCTGGAGTCAGAGCGACGACGACGACGACGATACTTCTGGATTCGGAAGAGTTGGAGAAGAAGAAAGAGGAATTTGAAATGGGAATTCAGAAGGCGATGGAGATGTTCGCAGCGGTGATGGACGAGGAGAAGGACAAAATTGAAATGGTGGGTTTTTGGGAAATCTGAAATTGTCTGAAATTCAAAATTTTGGAAAATTTTGAAAAAAAAATTTTTTTTTTGAAATTTCCACCAAATTGAAGCTGAGCAATCACCCAAAAACGCTCAAATTTGATTGCTTTCGCTGATTGCTCAGCTTTAAATTTGAAAAAAAAACTTTTTTGGCAAGTACCAATTTTGGGCCTACTGTAGCCTAAAGTACTTTAAGCTGAGCAATCAGCTGAATACCGACCGTTTTGAGCAGCTACAAATGATTGAAATCGAGCTTAAATATTCAGAGACTGCTCAGCTCAAAATTCTGAGAAATCTAAAAATTATTTTAAATTCCGGTTTTTTGAAATTTTTCCAATTTTTCGAAATTTCACTTTTTTTTTCATTTTTTCCAACTTTCCAGTCTACAGTAGTCCACAGTGTTATAAGCTGAGCAATCAGCTGAATTTTACTGTTTTGAGCATCTGAAAATGATTCGAAATTGAGCGTTTTCGGTGATTGCTCAGCTTTAAATTTATCAAAGCTATGAAAATCCTGAAAGTTGATCCTAAAATCATTGAAAAATTCGAATTTCAAAATTTTTGAAATTTTCAATTTTTCGGAATTTTTTGAAATTTTTTAGATTTTTCGAAAAAAAATTTCAAATTCTCGTTCTACAGCCAAAAACAACCAAAAACAATCTGGTTTTTCGGATTTTTGAATTTTTCGGTCTACTGTAATCTACAGTACTTTAAGCTGAGCAATCACTGAATTTGGCTGTTTTGAGCAGTAAAAAAATTTGTTGAAAAATGAGCCAAAATGACTAAAACTCGGTTTTTTTGAAAATTTGTTTTTTTTTCTTGAATTTTTTGATTTTTAAGATTTTTCGAAAATTTGATTTTTCGGATTTTTTGAAATTTTGAATTTTTAAGATTTTTTGAAATTTTGAATTTTTAAGATTTTTTGAAATTTTTCTTCTTTTAATTTTTTTTTCAACGTTCGATCTACAGTAGTCTACAGTACTTTGAGCTGAGCAATCAGCTGAATTTGGCTGTTTTGAGCAATTTTCGGTGATTGCTCAGCATAGAAATTTCTTTGCAAAAAATGAAAATTTGGGTCGAAAAAGTCTAGAAAAATTTCGGGTCTACAGTAGTCTACAGTATGCTAAGCTGATCAATCATCTGTGAATTTCTAGGTTTTACAATGATTGCTCAGCTTAAAATTTGGAAAAAAAAGAAACATTTTTGGCAAGTACCAATTTTGGGCCTACAGTAGCCTACAGTACTTTATCTGAGCAATCAGCTGAATTCTGCTGTTTTTAGCAGCTAAAAATGATTAAAAATGAGCATTTTTTAGTGATTGCTCAGCTTAAAATTATATGAAAACTCTGAAAAAATACTGAAAATTGATCCTAAAATCTGTTTTAAATTCGGTTTTTCGAAATTTAAAAATTTCAGATTTTTGTGAAAATTTTGATTTCACAAAATCTCGTTTTTCGAATTTTGGAATTTTTCAAAAACAAAAATAAAATTTAAGCTTAAAAATCCCCCAAAAAATCGATATTTTCAGTCGAAATCATCGCTGAAAATGCTGGAATTGGGATTCAAAACGAACGAGATGTATTGTGCTGAAACGCTGGAGAATATCAAGCGCAAGGATACGGTAAAGGTGTTCGAGAAGCCCGTCCAACTGCCTATCTACACGACAATCATAAAAAATCCGATATCGTTCGAGGAAATGACCAAAAAAGCGGCGGAATTTAAATATAGTGAGTTTACAGTATTCAGATTGCTCAGATTTGGAAGAAATTGAGAAAAATTGAGTTTTTTAGCTCGAAAAATGAGCAATTTCGAGCACTTTTAGCTTCAAAAATTCGATTATTTTTCAAAAATTAAAGCTGAGCAATCTCAAATTTCAGAAAATTTCAAAAATTTAATGCTGAGCAATGTCTGAATTCTGAGGTCAAAACGGGCTTAAATTGACCCCAAAAATCGAAGATTTTGCCTAAAATTCAAGCTGAGCAATCTCGAGATTTCGAACTGAAAATTGGTCCGATTTGGCCTGAAAATGAGTTTTTTAGCTGAATTTTAAGCTGAGCAATCTCCAGAAATCGCTTCAAAACGCTCCAAATTTCGAATTTATAAAGCTGAGCAATCATTCTGGAGTTTCGAATTTTTCGAGAAATTTAACGTTGATCAATATCTATAAATTGCAAATTAAAAAGTTTTTTATGCTGAGCAATCTCTAGAAATCGGCTTAAAATAGGCTAAACTCGCCCTGGAAAGCTCCAATTTTCGAGTTTCAAGCTGAGCAATCCTCTAAAAATAGCTTTAAAATTCAAATTTGAATTCTCTTGTAAAATTTAAGCTGAGCAATATCTGAAATTGGCTTAGAATAGGCTAAACTCGCCCTAAAAAGCTCCAGATTTAGAATTTTAAGCTGAGCAATCCTCTGAAATTTGCCTTTTTCAGATTCCATCACTCAACTCCAAGCTGACATTGCTCTGATGCTCACCAATTGCTCAATATTCAACAAAAAGAATCCGTACTACTACAAGTACGGTATCACGTTCAAACGACAAACCACACCGATGCTGGAAGCGGCGGCTAGAGCCGAAGCGGCTCGAAGCGAGAGGAGAAATGATAAGGAACTGATGACGGAGATATTGAACGGGTTTTTGAACGCGAATTCTGAAGCAGGGGGAGCAGAAGACGTCGAGGAAGATTCTGGAGCTCCTGGGGGCTCTGGAGGCTCCGGAGGAGCTGGAAAACGGGGCAGACGACGTCGGTCCCCAGGAAAGGTTAAAGACGTCAAAGAGGAAATCAAAATGGAAGAGGAACCTCCAGCTTCTGCTCTTCCATCGAAACGTGGGCGGAAAAGAGCCATCCAGGAGACGTTGGATTCTGAAGAAGCGCCATCCACGTCATCTGAACCATCTGGAGCACCTGACATGCTCAACGCAGCGTCCACATTCTTCAAACCGCCGCAAACTCGGCTGTTCCGTGGCGCCGGCTTCCCGGGGATTCATAAAAAATTTGGAGCTTCGATTTGTGAGACGCCGAAGACGTCGGGACCACAAAAACAAACGAAAATGACGGCTTTTTTAACGCGGGGCGTCACTTTTGAGGATGAGAAAGGAGGAGGAGATAAGGATGGGGATCCGAAGCAGAAGACGAAGAACAAGAAGGATAATAATGAGAAAAGTGGTAGGTTTTGGCCTTAAAAGGACGATATAGAGGGAAAATGGTATGAGTTTATAACAATTTTGTGATAGGTACGAAGAACTAGAAGGGTGCGGCGATGAAGGGTGGTTAGCATAGAGAACTGGGATAGGCGATCGGTGTATGAATTGAAGGGCATATTACATCTCTGGAAGACTTTTCTGGTGAAAAAAAAAATAGGCTTAAAATAGGTCTTAAGTGGTCCATAATTGGCCTGGAATGATCGGAAATAGCCAAAAATGGACTTAAAATAGGCTCAAACTGGTCGAGGCTCTTTAAGCCAACCTCTTTGCCCATTTTAGGCTGATTTTGGACCCCTAACGTAGGCTTGAAATGTGCTAAAAATGGTTCAACATAGGCCTACAAGAGACTAAGATAGGCTTAAAACAGGCCGAAAATAGGCGAAAATAGGCTTGAAAATTGACTGTACTATAGGCTGGAAATAGGCTTTGAACGTGCTTAAAATAGGCTCAAAATAAGTTTGAAATCGTCTTGAAATAGGCTTGAAATTAGCTTAATAAGGGCTAGAATAGGCTTAAAATAAGCTTAAAAAGGCCGAAAAGTCTTAAAGTAGACCTAAAATGAGCTAACAATGGACTGAAAATGGGCTAAATTTGGCTCGAAATGGGCTTAAAATAGGGTTAAAATAGGCTTAAAATAGGCTTAAATCAGGCTGAAATAGGCTTAACATAGGTTCAAAATAATCTTATAATGAGCTTAAAGTATATTTAAAATGGGCTGCTCAAAATAGTCCAAAATAAGCCTAGAAAAGCCCAAAATCGCTGTCAAACTGTCCAGAATTCTGTATTTCCCAATGTCCAGATGTCCGAAAACAAAGATTTTAGGATAATGGTTTTGAGTTTTTTCGATTTGAATTTTTCGAATAATTTTGAAACATCAATTTTTTAAAATCTGAAATTTGTCTGAAATTGGCTTGAAATAAGCTTAAAATCAGTTTGAAATGGTCCAAAGATTGGGCTAAAATAGACTGAAAATCGGCCTAGCGTAGGCTAAATATGTGCTTAAAATAGGCTAAAATAGGCTTAAAATAGGCTTAAAATAAGCTTAAAATAGGCTTAAAATAAACTTTAAATCGGTCTAAAACGGCCAAAATGCTCATTTTGAGTCTATTTTTGACGATTTTCGGCTATTTTAAATGCCTTTTTAAGTATTTTAGGCCATTTTTCTTAGGCTTTTTTTTTAAGGAATTTCAGGGTTGAAATGTTGATTTTCAGACCATTTTGAGCCCTTTTTTACACAAAAATTTGCTTAAAATCGATTTTTCAGACTGCCAACAGCAACACATTCTATTCCAATCGATCACAACCCCATCAAATTCCACCAAACTCTTCCCGAATTCGTTCACATCGATTCTGGCGTCATTCACCGGTATTCCGACGATACCACGTCCAGTAACACGATCCTCGACGACGTCAACGAATTCTGGAGACAGCGCAGCGACGTCATCTGAAACCCCAAAAATTCAAAAATCCAAATTTCGAATCTCCTCCTCCGCCCTCCAATCTCCGCTTCCCGACCCGAAACGCGTCGGAATTCGTGCCATGGATTCAGAAGACGACGACGATGAGGAGGAGATTCTGATTCAACCGATTCAGAAGACGTTATCACCTGAGGAGTTGAAGACTGAGCAATTGAGATGTGCGGAGAATGAGTCGAAATCAAAGTTTGCTCATAATCAGCTGGTTATTGTGGAGGGAAGAGCGGCGAAGTGAGTTTTTATCAGTGGAGCGCGTTTGCTGAAGGTCACTTTTTTGAACGAAACAAGTGCTGAAAATCCGACTAAAATTGGCTGAAAATCGGATAAAAAATGAGCAATCTGAAATTTCGAAGTTTTTTAGAATCGCGACTTTTCAGAACCGCGACGTTTTAGAACCGCGACGTTTTAGAACTGTGACGTTTCAGAACTGTGAAATTTCAGAACCATGACGTTTTGGAACCATGGCATTTCAGAACCGCGACAGTTTAGAACTATGACGTTTTAAAACAATGAAATTCTAGAACCCTGTCATTCTGGAACCGCGATGTTTCAGAATGTATCGCTTCAAAATTGACTTGTTTCCGAACGACGACGTTTTAGAACCACGACGTTTCAGAACTATGGCTTTTTAGAACTAGGATGTTTCAGAACCGCGACACTTCAGAAGTATGTCATTTCAGAACAGTCATTTTTCAGAACCGTGACGTTTAGAACCATAATGTTTTTAAGATCGCGACGTTTTAGAAACATTACGTAATAGAACTATGAAATTCTAGAAACATGACATTTCAGAACCGTGAAGTTTTCAAACCGCGAAGCTTCAGAACTGTGACATTTTAGAACTGTGGCGTTTTCGAATTGAGACGTTTTGGAACCGCGACTCTTTAGAACCATGGTATTACATCCAAAAAAATATAAAAACGGCAAAATTTTAAAGCCATGACGTTTCCGAACTATGACTTTTTAGAACTAGGTTATTTCATAACTATGAAGTTTCAGAACCTTGACGTTTTAGACCTACGACATTTTAGGACTAGGACATTACTGAACCATGAAGTTTTAGAAGTGCGACTTTGTAGAACCGCCACGTTTCAAGATCGCGATTGTTTAGAATTGCGACCTTTTAAAAATGCGACGTTTCAGAACTATGGCTTTTCAGAACCACGACGTTTTAGAACTGTAAACTTTTGAACCCAAAAATAGGTCAAAATTATGCGGAAAATAGGCTAAAATTGGGCTAGAAATAGGCCAAAAATTCTGAGAAATCTGTGTTTCCAAATATCCAGATGTCTGAAAAAAACACTTGAGATTGTCCTTTTTTTTATAGAAAACGGCTTTAAAATGCTCAATTTTTCAAATTTTTCTCGAATTTTCAGAGTAATCGATTATCACCTGGCGCACTTATCAGACATTCATCTGGAGCAACGTCAATCGATGCTCAAAAAGCGTCGGGAAGTGCTCGCCGAGCTGCCATCGTCGGCTCCAATCTACGTGGAATTCTTTCAAAAATCCAATATTTTGGAGAATTTCCAATGGGTACCCAGTGAGAAAGTCGAGTTGTTGGACTTGAATAATTGCGCTCAAAAGGGAAAAATCACTGGGCTGAAGGCGGCGAAGGAGTGGTGAGTTCTAGGAGTTTTTTGAGTGAAAAATTGGAATTTTCGGGCGTTTGTTGGCCTAAAAATGGTCTAAAATGAAGGATTTTGAGCTAGAAATCTGAAATTTTGATTTTTTCGAAAAAAAATTTTTTTTTTTGAAAAATCCAATATTTTCAGTTTTTTTTTGCTGAAAATGCTGAAAATTCTGAAAATTTAAGTTTCCCAAAAAAATTGTAAATCAACTTTTTTTCTGAAATTTCGGACAAAAATTCTTAGAATTACATCGATTTTTGACCTAAAAATTCAAAATTTTGGGTTTTCAGAAAATCCAAAAATTTCAGATTTTTCAACTTTTTCAGAATTTTTTGGCTGAAAATGCTGAAAATTTGAATGTTTCGAAATTTTCAAAAAAATTCAACATTTTTAAATTTTCTCAACTTTTCAGGCACCAAAAAGTGCTCAACGGCGAGACGATTTGATTTTCAATTTCAAGGAAATACAAACCTACATAATCTACAGTAACCTACCCAATTGAAAACTACAGTATCCCTACTTTCCTGTTTTTTTAAAATCACTTTTTATCTGAAAAATTGTATTTTTTTTCCCCTGAAAATTCCTTTTTTTTCCATTTAAAAAACTTTTTTATCTAAAAAAATTCAAAAAAAATTTAATTTTTGACCCCAAAAATTCCAAAAAAAAAACATTTTTTCAGCATTTTTCACTTTTTTTTCTCAAAAAATGACCGATTTGTTTTTCCAGAAAATTCCATAATACATTTCCTTGTCCCCGTTTTTTTGACAAAAAAAAATCAATAATTCTGATTTTTTTTCCTCCTCTTCCCACTGAATTTCCACCATTTTTGTGTATATTTTTGTGTGTCCCATGGACCCAATAGCTTAATTTTTTTGATATCTAGAAAATGACATGTGTAGAATTGTGATTTCTTTTTTGTCTCCTGAAAATTCAATAAAATTATTTTTCAATGTATTAATTTTAGCATAATTAAACATGAAGGAGAATTTAGGCTGAAAATTCTGAAAAAAACGTTCGAAGGAAATGTTTTTTTTTCCAAATTTTACTAATTTTGTTCCGACACATTATGTGGTAAGCCCTGTGTCGGAGCGAGAATACAAGAATAGGCACATTAGCTACCGTAAGCTACCGTAGCTACCGTAGTCAACTTTGAGTTCAATTATCTCGGTTCGTATGGAAGATTTCAAAAAGTTGTTGGCTTGAAAGTCAGGGGGGCCCTTCTATTACAGGTTTTTCGATAATCCAACAACTGGTTTATTACTGTTAGGGCTCTGAGTTTGGATCTTCGGGCGTCTGCAGTTGGGGGTTGGCGTAGTTCCGATGGCCACCAGATGAGGATCCGTTGCTTGTGGAAGGAAGAGAGCAACCATCCGTTCCGACGATCTAGGAGGTTGTGACTGTAGAAGATGTGGTATCGGATTTCAGCTTGGTCCATGTGGTATTAGTATTCGGATCCGGCGTCAGCGAGTCCATTGTAGGGGAGATCCTTTGGATTGTTCCATTGTCTCACTAGGTGGTAACTGGGATGTGGAACTTTGGGTCGAGACCTATGTCATTCGAAAGCTGAGAACACGCCCTTTCCGAATCTGTTTTCCGATTTTGCTGCGGATGCATCCGTTTTGAGAAAAATAGAGTTTAAATTTGGGTCAAAAAAGGCTGAACATTTTCACGTGATCTCTGGATTTTCTGTTGATTTTTTCGATTTCAAAAGGAATTTCAGATCACGTGAACACTAAATAAATCAACCCAAATTAAAACAATGGAAAACGTCGATCGGATGGTTCAGTGGTTGATGTTCGGATTAGTACGGGAGAGGTCTGGGGTTCGATTCCTTCTGCTCGAAATAAAGAGACAAACCAAATGTTCCAACTTCATCCCCGAAAAGGATGGCCTGTCTCTAGTCAGACAACAACCCGATGGGAATTTCGGTGCTTGAAACTTTCAGAGTATATGTTCTGGTTTAGTTTCACATGTTTTTGGATGCTCTCAAAATTTTTTTACCGCGGAATGAGACAGTTTGCCCACAGACCACCCCCCGTGCCGCCGAAAACGCTACGCAAAGGTGTTGAGCCCCACGATCTGAAACAGAGCTGCCAGAAGCGAACAACTATAACATAATTTAGTTACAAATCTCTTTGATAAAGTTCTGTCCAAATTCGACCCGGATTGGACTATTTTCCGAGAAGCTATGATGTCCTCATTTGGTTACCAGACTTTTGCCCCACCCTGTACAGTCATAAGCACAATTCTCCAACTATTTAACGCTACATATTTGGGGTGATCAGTTCCCTTATCACTATGTCAGATCTTGAACATACACGTGGATATGCTGAGGAGATGCTATAAAAGGAAGGAGAATCGCCAGTATGAGGAAAATCAATATCTGAAAAAATAATGAATTCTGGTTGAAATGGAGCTGTTTTAAAGTTTTAACGATAGTTTTTTTTTTAAAGTTAATTTTAAAAATTCATACTTCTCAAAGACAGCAATTATGGAAATTGCACTTTTCGGAACTTATTTCTTCCAGAAACTTTTTGAAACAGTAAAAAATGTTGAATTTTTCTTTTGTATCCATTGTTTATGCAAAATTTTTGTAATCATTAAAAACACTTTTTGAAATAGTCAATTTTTTTAAAAAACTGTTATTGGCAATATGTTCGATATAATTCCTTGCCTACTTTTTTATTAGTTCAAATTTTTAATTTTCATTTAAAGGTGATGTGCGGTGAAAAATTTTATTGCTTTATTTTGTGCAGAAATCCAAGTAGATCCCCATAAAAATAAAGAAAAAATTCAAAAAAAAAATTGCCTTCATTGAGAAAAACGGCATCGAAATGTCAAAGTGGGAACCGGTGGCCTAGCGGCCAGGTGTGAGTTTTCTAGGCCAACTGCCGGTAAAAGCGCGCGAAATTCGAAGTTTTATTGATTTTCAGTGTTTTTTNAGATTTTTGTTAGGTTTTTTCATACACCTGGGAGGAAATGAACAAAAACATTTAGAAATCTTCAAAAGACATTAGAGAAAACACTGAAAATCAGCGAAAATTCGAATTTCGCGCGCTTTTACCGGCAGTTGGCCTAGAAAACTCACACCTGGCCGCTAGGCCACCGGTTCCCACTTTGACTTTTCGATGCCGTTTTTCTCAATGAAGGATTTTTTTTTGAATTTTTTCGTTATTTTTATGGGGAACCTACATGGATTTCTGCACAAAATAAAGCAATACAATTATTCACCGCACACCACCTTTAAAGTTGTATTGATAAATATTATAGGCTAGAAAACTTCTTATGTTCAAAAAAGTGTTTTCAGAGAAAAAGAGTTTATTCATGAAAACTTTCAGAATGAACAGGAAAAAAAATTTGTACACATAAATTTCAAATCCCGACGACACACAATCCGGAATCCCCCTCGCATTTGTATCCAGTAGGGCAGGAAGAGCAGGCGTCTCCTTCTTTATAAATGTTCGAGTTCAAGATGTTTCCTCTGAAAGTACATAGCGTATAACTCAGAATATGGACTCGAATCAGCAAGGAAAATATGGCTCATTGCGGTCACTGGTTTTGATGCTAGGCATTCGAAAATATCGTCCAATTGCTTAACGAGATCTACAAATAGATACCAAATTTGATTGGCGAAATTGGCCCTGCTCCTTTGATTTGGCACTAGGCATTCGAATACAGTCAAATTGTGATTTTCAACCTTCAAATAAAAATCACTCACATTTCCTTATAATGGCAAACCACAAGAATTTTGGACTTGTTCCCCTTGGACGAATCCTTTCCACAGTTGTTAAAACCACATCCAACGAATTCTGTCTCAGCCCATGCCATCTGAGTAGCTGCCGCGATCTTAGAGCCAAGGGTGGCTTTATCTATTTTGTTAGAGTTCCATCCGAGTTTTTCCAGGTCACGCACCCATGCGCCTGACGCCTTAGCTCCCTGAAAAATTACGTAATTCTGGAATCCCAAATCATTCAATACTCACTATGTTAGCAATTACAGTTTCAGGTGTTGAAAAGTAATCCTGGAAGATATTTTCCCCTGCAGTTCTAGATGATTCTTCTCTACAGTTGTTGGCTACGTTTTGAGCAGCGGTGGCAAGAGCCGAACTCCATTTCTGAATTCCTAGATTTATTTCGCTTCTTTGACTTTTCGACAAACCATTTTACGCATGTTGGATGCTGCATTCGGGAGTGTTCCGTTAATCCTATACTCTCCTTTGGCAATAGCAGATCTAAGGTTATTGTGGATTCTCAAGATGTCTTCTTGAGCCTTTTCACTGAACTGAGCACTGGCAAATCCGAGGAGGACGAGTATACAGAAAATGATCTTCATTATTTAGAATGAATTGTTGTTTTGATGCTCCAATGGTTCTTTTTATACAGAGCATGTTTAGTGCTTATCAGTGATAAACAAAATACCATAACAGGCGGTTTAACGAATAACAACTCAAAAATTTAACATTGAAAGAGATAGTTCAATGTGATAAGTATGAAATGTTTTGACGTCGAACACAGTTCCTTGCCCTCTTGTGAGACGTCAAAATAACAAAGACTAAAAGTCCAAATATGTTATGTGACTTTACGTTTCCGGTCTTCGTAAATCGACATTGTAATATATTTGCTTCAGAAGTGCAAAATAGTGCAAAATCCCATTTTTACATTCCAAACCTAGGCGCCGCAATGAAAAGGGGCGGGGCGACCAAATGTTTCTCCCCTTTTCAGAAACCCATCTTTGAAGTCTTGTACCGGGCGTTAGAAACTCATTATTTTTAGGGTTAGAACTTGTCGCTATGTAATCGACTACGAAAAATCGAATGGAACCATCAGTTTCTTGATGATTCCATTATTTTGATTCGAAAACTTCGAAAAACAGAAATCACACGGACAAAGTGGACTAAAAGTATTGGATGGAAGTTAGTGCCTCCAAATTTTTTGATGGATTCTGGTAGTTTATGAAATGGGAGATTGGATTTTGAAATAAAATCAAAATTCGAAATGTTCAAAAGCATTTTTTTCATTATTTGCCCTTTTGGGAGGCGTCAAAATAACAAAGGTCAGAAGTTAAAACATGTTATTGCAGTGCTCTTTACATGTGATAGTAGGCTTATTTGGTTTTAGTACTATCAAACAGAGATGTCCGGATTTCGTTTATTCCGAGGAATAAGTTTTTGATCAGGTCGCCATTATCCGGATTTCGAGAAAATTGTTTTTTTTTCAGAATTCCGTCTTGATCCGTTTGTAATACATATCTGATGGAGATTTCTGCACAAATTTTATAATTTTTGAGGTCTGTATTGTTCATGGAAAAAGTCACTAAAGTTTGAAGTCATGAGTTTAGATTCTGAAATTGACTTATTTGAAATGAAAAAACACCTGACGGATTCTCCACAGAGCGCATTTGTTCGCCCAAGGATTACTGTAGATGGAGTCTGGCCAGCTTTTCTGCGGTTTCAGCAGAGGAATTATGATAATTTTCCGTGCAAAAATGTGGTTTTTCGGTTTTTGCGCGGTTTAAACGGTTTTGAATGTAAAAATTGGGATTTCGGACTGCTTCGCACTTCTGAGGCGGTATTATCGAGAGAAAGAGACCTGGAAAATTTTAAAATCGTCGCTTGTGTTGATTTACGAGGACCGGAAACGCAATATCACATGTGAAGAGCATCGCAATAACATGTTTTGACTTCTAACCTTTGTTATTTTGACTTATTTTTTTTTCAATAGGGTAAGGAATGTGCTCTCGTCACTGTTATTGTTGGTCGGTCCCAGGAGGAAAATACATTTTAGACCTACCACATTGAGCTATACAACCTTATCTCTTTCAAAGTCAACATTTCAAGTTGTTATGCGTAACAACTTTTTTTTAATGATATTTTGTTTTTAACTGATAAGAGTTCGAGATGCTCCGTATAAAAGAAATCATGGGAGCATCAAACGGACAGTTCATTCTTAATAATGAAATTCATTCTCTATATTCTCGTCGTTCTTGGATTTGCCAGTGCTCAGTTCAATGAAACTGCCCAAGAAGCCATCTTGAAAGCTCACAATGACCTCAGATCTGCTATTGCCAAAGGAGAGTATAGGATTAGCGGAACACTCCTGAATGCAGCATCCAACATGCGTAAAATGGTTTGTGGAGAGTTTAAAGATAATTGAAAGAAGTCTAGAAATTCAGAAATGGGATTTGTCTCTTGCCGAAAAGGCTCAAAACGTAACCGATAGCTGTCCAGATAATATAAACACAGGTGATGGATACGGAGAAAATGTTCTGGCTTCATATGTTGAAAACCCAGGAAAAGCTCTTGAGATAGTAAGTTTTGAAAATAATTCCATTTTTATGGTAATTGTTCAGACACTGTTGGATGTGGAAGTGTGGAAGATGCAGTTTGGGATGAGACTTGAAGATCTTCTAAGCTTGAATGGGAACATTCAAAACTATGAACTCACAAAGACTACCCAAATGGCATGGGCTGAGATCGATTCGATTGGTTGTGGTTTTTCGAATTGTGGGCAGAAGTCTTCCGGGAGCAAAACCAAGGTCGTTGTGGCCTGCATGTACAAAATCTCTTCATCTCGTATAAGTCAGGAGAAACCGTATAAGTCAGGAGAAACCTGCTCATCGTGCGATCCCGGATTCACGTGCGACACTGTTTCCGGATTGTGTGCCGGAATTTGAATTGCATGTATAAAATTGTTCTTTCAAATAATAAACTCTTTTCTCTTTTTACCTGTTCTTATATCGTACTTGTGATTCGGACCTTTGCCGGACCTTCGGGGGCCCTGTCATAGTTAGGGCCAGGCCTGCTTTTTCTCGTTTCGTCTGTAACTTCGTTCATAGACAAGATGCAATTTTCCAAATAATATCATTCTGTAGTACTTTTCGAATTATATCATATCTAAGTTAGTCTGAAAATAATGATTCTTAAAGAAAATACGGCAGTGCCCGGCAAAGGCCCGGATTGCAAGTATATTTTGTATTTCATTGAAACCATCTTCTAGAAATACACATGAAAATAAATTCAATGCTTAAAAACAAATCTCAATTAACAGGAAGCTTATAACAATTTTATAAACTTTCAAGTCGACAAGCGTTGATCTTCTATCTGAGTCTTTCAATAAATTGGATATAAGTGATAGAAAGATTATGCCCAATGATTACTGTAGTTGAAGCCTAACCAGCTTCTCTGCAGTTTCAGCTGAGGTATTATAATAATTTTCCGTGCAAAAATGTGGTTTTTCGGATTTTGCGCGGTTTAAACGGTTTTGAATGTAAAAATTGGGATTTCGGACTGCTTCGCACTTCTGAGGCGGTATTATCGAGAGAAAGAGACCTGGAAAATTTTAAAATCGTCGCTTGTGTTGATTTACGAGGACCGGAAACGCAATATCACATGTGAAGAGCATCGCAATAACATGTTTGGACTTCTAACCTTTGTTATTTTGACTTATTTTTTTTTTCAATATGGCAAGGAATGTGCTCTCGTCACTGTTATTGTTGGTCGGTCCCAAGAGGACGATACATTTTAGACCTACCACATTGAGCTATGCAACCTTATCTCTTTCAAGGTCAACATTTTAAGTTGTTATGCGTTAAACATTTTTTATGGTATTTTGTTTTCGACTGACACTCACTCAAGATGCTCCTTTTAAAAAGAATGATAGGAGCATAGGGAATCAACCAAACACTTCTTTCTAAATCATGAAGTCTCTTTTCTGTATTCTCATTTTCATTGGATGTCCCAGTGCCGTCTTCGGATGCGCCGGGTATCAGTTCGATCAAACTGCTCAAGAAGCTATCGTCAAAGCTCATAATGACCTCAGATCTGATATTGCTAAAGGCAGAAATCGTACGTATCGTGGAGCACTCCTAAAAGAAGCATCAAACATGCGTAAAATAGTTTGTCGAAAGTTGAGAGATAATGGAAAACTATAGAATTTCAGAAATGGGATTCGACTCTTGAGAAGTCTGCTCAAGAGTTAGCAGACACCTGCCAAGAAGAAAAGTACAGAATTGCTAAATATCATAGGATTAGTACTAACCCCTCCGAAAGCAGTATTCAGCAGTTAGTAAGTTTTGAATAAAGTGGGATGTCAACTTAATGGTGATTTTCCAGGCTGTGAATGCCACGACATACTGGAAGGAGCAGTTCCGCTTTCAGAGCTTTAATGCAGACTATTTCAAGAATGCAATCACAAAGGATAGTCAAATGTGAGATCACATTGATTGGATGTGGTGTTAAGGATTGCGGAAAGAAGGCACCCGGGCTAACATTTGATAAGATGATTGTGGTGTGCCAGTATAACTTACAGTGAGTGACTTTTTTTTTTCGAAAGTTTCAAAATCACAAACTGTTAAATTTCGAGAACAAATAATTCTTCCCTGTACAAACAAGGAACGGCCTGCTCTTCGTGCGGTTCCGGTTTCAAATGTGAGGAGGATTCTGGGTTGTGTGTTCCCGTATAATTGTGTTATTTCAAACAATAAACTTGTTGTCGCGGCAGCAGATGTTCTACTGCACGATCTCAAATCCAACAATACTATAGCAAATCTAGAATGACACAAATAGTCATAAACACGATTCTCCAACTATTTAACGCTACATATTTGGCGTGATCACTTCCTTATCACCATATCAGATTTAGAGCATAATCGTGGATATGCTGAGGAGATGCTATAAAAGGAAGCAGAATCGCCAGTATGAGGAAACATCTGAATCAAAGGAACAATCCCAACGGATCGCCCCAACGATGGACTCACTGATGCAAGGATTCCACTGCTGACGCCCAAGGACCAAACCAACTCCCGGTGCCACATCTCACTGCTGCAACCTCCTCAACGAAGCAAAGGATGGTTATCTCTCCCTCATCAATGGACCCTGTCGCTGGATCGGAACCTTGGTGGACGCCGAATGCAGATGTCACGAAGACCCCAAACTCAGAGCCCTAACCAGTTAAATAAATAGTTGTTGAATACTTAATGTTCATATCCTTGTACTTTCACTCCGACACAGGCTCACCACCTAAGTGTCGGAACACTTGTTCCACATTTCAATGTCATTTTCTATTTCATTGAAAACCATTTTCTGGAAAGAGACCTTGAAAAATATTGAATCCTTAGGAACAAACCACAAATAACAGAAAACTATTAACAAATTCGCCCCCTTTAACTAAGTCAAAAATGTGGAGGTAGAAGAAGAGTTCTGAGCAGAAATAACTTGATACTTACGAACAAAACACTAATAACATGTCCCTATTAACCTGTTTAGAAACTTCAAAGCCGAAAATGTGGGCCTCCTCTGTCGGGTTGTAACTTCTGTTCGGAATTTGAGAAGGGGTTCGGTTTTTATACAGATCTGGGCCTAGTTTTTGACAGAAGTGGCCCCGCTGTTAGGGGTCAGGAGTTTGAAAAAAATTTTCGGAGTTTAGAGTGGTCTTATTCGGAATCTGACCAGCCTCCGACCAGAAGTGAACGGCGACATCATAAAGCTTGCTTTCAAACATAACTTATATTTCTAAAAAGAATTTTCGAAAAGTTACTATTCAAAAGTATCAGATCCCAATTTATTGGGACTACTTTGAGTCAGAATAAAAGTTACTATTTTAAAATATTTCGAAAGTTTTAATCGCTTTGTTTTCGCTGAATTCCATCAAAATTGTAGAACCACATAAAGTTTTTAAAACACACATATGATGCTTTATTTGTGCATCCATATTTTTTCTCGAAATCTGGAATATCACAACCCGAAAATAGTTTCATTCCTCGGAATTCGAAATGTGGATATCTCTGTTTGATACTACTGCAACCAAGTTAACGTAATATGACATTTAAAGCATTGCAATAACAGGCTTTAACTTCTAGCCTTTGTTGTTCTGGCGTCTCCCAAAAGGGCAAATGCTTTTGTCACTGTTATACAACAGTAAACTATAAAACCTTATCTCTTGTAAGGTCAAATAGTTGAGTTGTTATGCGTAAAAACTGCTTTGCGGTATTTTGTTTTTCACTGACTCGATGCTCCGTTTAAAAAGAAGCATGGGAGCATCCACCAGACATTTCATTCTAAATAATGAAGTTCATTTTCTGTATTCTCTTTGTCCTCGGATGTGCCAGTGCTCAGTTCAGTGCAACTGCTCAAGAAGCCATCTTACAAATCCACAATGACCTAAGATCCTCTATTGCCAAAGGAGACTATAGTGTGAATGGAACCGGCCTAGAAGCATCATCCAACATGCGTAAAATGGTTTGTCGAGGATTTAAAGATAAGTGAAAAAAAACGTATAAATTCAGAAATGGGATTCGTGTCTAGAGAGATCTGCTCGAAACTTAGCCAAGAGCTGTCCAGATAAAACATACAAAGGTGCTAAATACGGGGAAAACGTCTTCGTTTCTCATACTCTTTACCCCGAGAACACTTTTAACAGAATAGTAAGGTTCGAATGACATGAGGGTTTCCATTTAACGGTAATTATTCAGGGAGTGATGGGCGCGGCAATTTGGGGCGTAGAACTTGGTCAAGAACTGACTGCAGCCTCTCTCAACAATACAATCACAAAGAAGACTCAAATGGCATGGGCTGAGATCAATTTGATGGGATGTAGTGTTAAGAACTGTGGAAAGGTGTCACCCGAGAAAAATACCACCAAGATTGTTTTGGTGTGCAAGTATGAATTACCGTGAGTGATTTTTAGTTGAATATTTTAAAATCACAAATTGATACATTTTCAGAGATAACCTATCTTCTTCTGGCATGTATAAACCAGGAAAGGCGTGCACGTCTTGCGATGAAGGATTCAAGTGCGAGACTGATTCCGGATTGTGCGTCTGAATTTCAAATGTTCCTATAATTGTGTTCTTTCATTCAATAAACTCTTTTTATCACTCTTTTCGTAACTATCGAGTCGAGTTTTGATATCGTTTAGAAAGCCAAAGTTCTGAGACTTCAATTGTTTTTTTTTGTGGATTTTGAAATTTCCATAATTCTGAATTTCCCAAATATTTGGAAATTCAGAAATTTTGGAATTCGAGAACTATAAAGTTATGCAATTCAGATTTTCGTCGATTCGGGAGTCGGGAAAATTCAAATTTGGAGTTTTGGAAATTTCGAAAATTCTGAATATATAAATTCTGAAAATGCATATTTTTAGAAAATCCAGAAAACTAAACCAAAACATGATGAATATTGGCTCTGACAGTATATATTTTTTTTGCGTCAGATGCTAACTTTTACGCGAAAAATCATAATTGTTATGCGCCAAATGCGCACCAGCATCGAGAACCATGGCGCCAAAGTGTGTGTGGGTCAGTAAATCCCACCCTGTACGGCTATTGTAAGCAGGAGCAAGGAGGTTACATCTATATCGAAATTTGAAATTATAATTTCAGAGAAAAAAAAACAGTTTATTACTTGAAAACATAAAAATGATACAGGTTTTTAAAGTTCAGACGCACAATCCGGAATCAGTCTCGCACGTGAATCCCGGATCACAGGAAGAGCAGGCCGTTCCTGGTTTATAAAGGCGAGAAGAAGAGAGGTTATCTCTGAAAACATATTTGTGATTTTGAAACTTAAAGTCACTCACGGTAATTCATACTTGCACACCATAACGATCTTGTCTAGCGGTGGCTCGGATGACCACTGTTCACATTTTTGAAGATAACATCCGATTGAATCAATCTCAGCCCATGCCATTTGAGTATCCTTTGTGATTGTCCTCTCATACCATTGGGAATTAAGTTGCGATATCCAATGTTCCAGAGCCCAGTACCTCTGAGAAATGACCATTAAGTTTCAGATCATTGAAAACTTACTATTAATCCGGGGGTTCCCGTATATATAACGAAAACGTTCTCTCCGTACTCAGCACCTTCGTAATGATCATCCGGGCAGGTTATGGCTAAGTTTCGAGCAGATTCCTCAAGACACGAATCCCATTTCTAAATTTATATATGTTTCAATTTATTTTCCAACTCTCTACAAACCATTTTACGCATGTTGGATGCTGGCAGCCTGAGTACTTCATTAGCAGAATAGTTTCCTCTGGCAATAGCAGAACGGAGGTCATTGTGAGTTTTCAGAATAGCTTCTTTAGCAGTTGCACTGAACTGAGCACTGGCACATCTGAGGACAAAGAGAATACAGAAAATGAACTTCATTATTTTAAATGAAATGTTGGCTCTCATCAACATGCTCTCATGATTGTTTTCATAAGAAGCATTTCGAGTGCTTATCAGTAGAAACAATATACCATCAAAACAGGTTTTACGCATAACAACTCAAAAATTTGACCTTAAAAGAGATAAGGTTGTTTGGTTTATTGTTGTACCGACAGACAATAACAGTGACCATTGTTGAGCGGAAATACAATTTCTCTTCACGGTAGACGAAAGACGGAAACGGAACAAATTATTTTTTGGAGGGAAGGCGGAAGCCGGAAGACGGAAATCGGAAGACGGAAAATTTAGGCATTAAACGTTTCATAATCGTTTTTGCGGCAGCAGTCGACAAGCGCCGTGTGGTGTAGAGGTGAGCGCGCTTGTCTATCAGTCGCGCATCGCGGGTTCGATTCCCATCTGTTCGTTTTCTTTTTTTCTTTTTTTTTCATGCGGCGACATCATAGAATGACCGAATAACAAGAAAAAGTCGGGAATAATTGCCAAACAGTGAAGAAATATAGTGTATTCTAAAAAAATAAATTCTCGTCAAGTAGCGTCGCAATCGCACGATTTTCCGTCAGAATACATGGTCTCGCTCCAAGAAAGCTCCGTAGACTTTCGTGTCTGGCCTCCTTTAAGAATGGAATAATTCAAAACAAAAACTAATAAAACTTGTTAGAGCGTATCAAAAATAGAACAGAGAAATATATATATATATATATATATATATGATGTTTCAAAAAAATCTGAAAAACAAATCGAATTATTGATCTAGAAAAAACAAAAACTCGGTTTGAAAAAATTTGAAAAAAAAATTACTGTTTCAAATTTTCCCAAAAAATTTTATTCGAATTTTTTTGTCGTTTATTATGGTAAATTTATTCGTAATAATATTATTTGCAGTTAAAAACTAGGCTAGAAACTCAATTCTTTGACTAGAACTAAACGTTTCCCCATTATTTTCAAATCCCCAAAAAACATCTAAAAGTTAACTGTTTCAAACTTTTTTCTAGAATTTCAATTTGATTGGATGATGCCTTATTTTATAACCATAATTTAGCTGGTAATTAACTCAAAAGTGCTTAAACTTCAACAATTTCGGAAAGGAATGCGATTTTTCAATAAAACTGGTGATTTTTAAGCTCAAAAGTGTTTAATTTTTGATCAGAAATGTTATAAAAACGAATTTTAAGCGTTAAAAGTTGAGTTTTCAGCCCCGGAAAACGGGGTTTCTGATTAATCTATCCAGATTTCAGCTTAATCGGGTAATTTTGAGTAAACCCTACGTACGAAGTTCCGTATCTGATATTTTCGCAATGATTATTTCACTTCCTTGTCTCTGAAATTATAAATTTGTAAATCAAATTTCTGTTTTTTTTGAATTGATCTCTGAAAATTTGAAAAACGGAGAGATCACAATAGGATTTTTGAGATTAAAACAGACCCTTGTTTTTTTTTGCAGATATAGAAACTGAAAATTCTGATTTGAGAATAGACAGCTGTCAAAATATTATTATTGTCTGGGAAATTGAGTATCTTTTGGAAGTCATTCAGTTTTGTTTTGAAACTGAATTTCGAATTTCCAAATTGCAGTTTGAAAACCTTTCCATTCTCTTCTTCTTCTTCATCACTACGCTCGTCCGAATGAAAATTTCAGTATCTTTTTTTCTGAAATTCATAAATCTGTACATTTTGTATGAAAAATTCCAATGAAGCGATTTTGGAGTTTATCATTACTTTTCTCGACTGCGTCTGTTCTAATCGCTCCTTAACCGAAAAACGAATGTATTGTTCCAATGAAGCTCCAATAAAGCGATTTTGGAGTTTTTTATTTAGTCAAGTTCAACTTCTGAAACCGTAATTTTGATTTTTATTTTATTGTTCAAAATCTTTACTAGAAGTTGGAAGTTATCTTCTCTTTCCTCTACGCTCCAAGAGAATATGTTTTTCTGTTTCATCACTTTGAAAGAGGGTTTTGATATTACAAGCTCATTATACATAGGTTTTACGTTCAATTAATAAGGTCTTATGATGGTGATATAACATGACAGCGCTATGCTTTGAGTTCAGCTCACAAAAAAAAAAACAAATGACCACCGAGTGTCGAAAACGGGAATATGGAAAGATTAGTCTAAACAAACACTAAAAACTACTAGTAAAAACAAGGGGTTTAGGAATCGATATAAATGGAACATGATAAAGGTATGAAACGATATCGATGAATTAGTAAAAACACAAACACTAGTTAATCAACAATAAACTAAAAGGATAATTATTACTCGAAATCTTCGTCGTCCTCCTCGACTCCAATTCCGTTCTCTTGGGGATGCAGGCATCCTTGGGCTCTCGGCACATCCTTGATGTATCGTTGTAGACCTGCCAGCGATCTCCATCTCCCTCTTGCTTAAATCTCCTCCACCGAAATTCCTTGGTTTGCAGCTTGATATGCAGCCGATATTTTCGACAGCGCGCTGCTTCCAATTCCTTTCGCTCGATCGACCAAATACAACAAAAAGGAAGACTCATTCAACGGAACTCTCTTCTCAATTATCCAATCCTTCCTCCTCTTGTTCTCTGCTTTATAAGCCAGAGCCGTCGACGAGGCCTTAGATTCCAGTGGAGCCGCTTTGAGCTTGTCCAGGTGCGTCTGGAATTCTTTCCCTGCTTGTCTCTCGATCTCTTCGATGTAATCCTTTTTGGGGCCTTCTGAAAATTAGTTTATAACTCTTTTGTCCTTCTTTATTCCTCTTCCCCGGGCGGGCGGGCTGGGACCCTCGTTAAAATTGCGTAGAATGGTTTGAAAACTCCGTTTTCACGCCCGGCGGTCGTGATCGTTGCGAGACCACAAGCCGCCGAAAGTCTATGCGCCTTTAACTCTCGCGCGCCTCTTTCTCCGTTCTTCAACGAAAAACATAATATTCTCTTTCCTCTACGCTCCAAGAGAATATGTTTTTCTGTTTCATCACTTTGAAAGAGGGTTTTGATATTACAAGTTCATTATACATAGGTTTTACGTTCAATTAATAAGGTAGAAACAAGTGCAAAGCCGGGGGCCTATTGAGTGAAATCTAAAATGCTAGAATAAAATCGGACCTACAAAATTTTGAGTTAGTAGCCTCGCAATGCCTAGATCCCTCCCCGGGGATGAAAATACAATCGTTTTTCTCGTAGATAATATAGTCTTTTACTTCCCTTATGAACCTCCCTGAATAATCTACAAGCGCCTGATAAGAAATATGACTTTCCCACAACGGGGCAACTAGCACGCCTCTCAATCTCCTTCTCCTCATAATTTTTATTAACTGAGGTATCAAAACTGGTGGAGGTACTAACCAAGGAAGTCCCATTCGCTCTGCTCTCTCGACGTGCTCGAAGACGTTGACTCCGCTTGTTCCAAACTCGGGATATCTAGAAAAATACAATTCCGTCTTCTTATTATTCGCATCTGCGAACCAGTCCACTTTTATCTCGCCCCACATTCTCTGCGCTTGACTAAACACTCGCTCAGCTATTCCCCAGTCATCAAAATCAAAGTTTCTACTCGCTTCGTCCGCTTCTACATTTTTCTCTCTCGGAATCCACAAAAACGAGCTCTCACCGACGTTCTCCAAGTTATGCCACACTCTCTCAGCTAAAGAATGCAGCTCTGGCTTCATGGAGCCTCTTCTCAACACGCTCACAGCTGCCTGACTATCGACTAACACCTGAACTCTCCCTTTCAGGTTTGAACTTATTCTCGCCGAAGCCACTTCGACCGCGGTCAACTCTCTCCAAGCGCTCGACTGTTTTTCAAAGTTTCCGTCGCCGATTTCTGTCATTTTCCACAAAATATCCTGCCTCTCATTCTTTAACAAGCCTCCAATACCACGCGCAGAGGCATCGGTATACAGGAAAAAGTCGGGCTTTGACTCAACTTCTAATAAATTTCTTCTCAACAGTTCTGCGCCTCTCGCTCTCCAGAACTCAATCTCTTTTTCCTCACCTGGAGACTTCTTCTTCCTTGCCAACTTCGATTCGTTCTTCTTCTTCTGGTTTTCGCCGACCACCTGCATCATCCATCTTGCCTTCGCCACACCAATGTCACCTGCAACAAGTTCAAATGATGCCAGGCATCCCAAAAACTTCATACGGTCCAGAACCGTTGGAGCCAGGCTCCTCCTCAACTCATCAAGAGCAGACCACCACGTGGCCATTCTCTTCTCGGTTCCACGAACCTCTTTCGCGACCAGGTCGCATTCATAACCAAGCCACGTAAACTTAGCGTCTGGCACCCAGAACGACTTTTCTTCTGCCACACACACACCAGCATTATGCAGATCTTCTCTCACCTTTCTCACTGCTCTCGCGACTTCTCTCTCCGTCTCACCCACAACTAATCCATCATCAAGATATAAAAAGATTTTTATACCCTCCGCACGCCATTTTTGAACTAAGACTTTAAAAATTTTTGTGAAAAGCCAAGGGGCAATTGACAAACCAAAAGGTAAACCCTTAAACAAAAAATATGGGGCGGCGGGAGGGTTCGACAGCGAAAAACCGAGAAGATCTCTTGAATCGCGATGAATTTTTATATGATGATAGCCTGATTTGAAATCGAAAGTGGCCGCAAATTTCGCAATTTTCTAGAAAAGGCCAGGCTGTCTTCAAATTCTCTAGTTTAAATCGAGGAGGAACCAGGCTCTCATTAAGCTCTCTCAAATCCAAAATCATCCGCTTTTTCTTACCTTGTTCCACAACGTGGAGCGGGGACACACATCTCGGCTCTTCTTCAACTCTGACGACGACACCTTCTCCCTCCAACCGCTTAATTTCTACAATCAAGAACTCTTCATGTCGTTTTACCGACGGCCTGAGGCCTTGTGGTTCTGGTAAAATTGTCTCTGAATTCAGCTGGATTTTATAGCCATCCTCAATTACACTCAACACCCATTCTACATTACAAATGCTTTCCCAAAATTCAATGGCTTTGGGAAGTCTCTCCGGAAAACACTTACCTTCGTTGTTCACAATCATTGGCATAGTGCCCATATCCTTGGCATTTGTAGCAGCGGATGCTTCTCTTGCCGTCTCTGCCTCCATAACCTTGGCCTCCATTTTGCCGAGTATTTCCCTGGCCTCGGAAAACACCCTCTGATCGAAACCACTGTTGTCTGCTTGGCAATGGATCTTGTCTTCTTCTTTTTACGTCTCCATGTTAACCTCCACTTTTATTTCCAGCTATTCCAGTAAGGTTAGACAGGAGCAGAATCGACGTCATATCGGCTTGAGTCGAAGATCCTTCCGAATCTCCTCCAGAAATCGCCTTCAGCGCGTCCAACTTCTCTTTCGTTTGTAGCAAATTCGGATCCGAGTCCAGCAACAACAATTCTCCGTTTCGAGACTTGATTAACTCCAGAACCTCTTTCACTCCATTCTCCAGATCATCGGCTGCCATCGCTTTACTCAAAACATTCTTTATTTTGAAATTAAAATCGATGTTCTTCTGGATCCCTTTTAACGAAACTTTTGGCGGCTTCTCCTCTTCCACTTCTTTCTCTTTCTTCCTCTGATCCACTCCTACACTGATTAGTTCCGCTACCTTGACAAGAATTTCTTCTCCAAACTCCTTCAACGCTGCTTTATTGATAGCATCAGCCATTTTTCTTCAAGATTTCGCCTAAACAATATATTAGTGAAAATTGACGGATAAAGAACCTTATTATCTCCCTATTACCGTTTTCGACACAATTAAACAAACAGAAAAAAAAATAAAAAACTCTCAAAAAACACGAAAAACAGGCTACGACCTCGTTAAAATTGCGTAGAATGGTTTGAAAACTCCGTTTTCACGCCCGGCGGTCGTGATCGTTGCGAGACCACAAGCCGCCGAAAGTCTATGCGCCTTTAACTCTCGCGCGCCTCTTTCTCCGTTCTTCAACGAAAAACATAATATTTTTTTTTTCTTTCAATATAGAATTCTCCAAAAAATTACAGTTTCAACTTTTTTAAAAATCAAAATTTCTGATGTTGTTTTCATAAGTTTGTTTTCCTCCAAATTATTCATTTAAAAATGAAGCAATAAAATTCGAATTTCGAACTACAAATAATTTTATTACAATTTTCGAAAAAAAAGATAAAAAAATCACTGTTTCAAAATTTCTAAAACGAAATTGTTCAATTTTTTGTTTTTATTGGAGCGAATTCATAGTTCTCTTTTTTCCATTTTTGATATATTCTAACAATTTTTAAGAGTTTTTGTTTCAGTTTGTCCCATTCTTAAAATTTTTGTGGAAGTTTTCGAAATCTCAGAAATCAGAAGTTACTGTTTCAGAAATAAAATTTGAAATTTCAGAACGCTTCTATTTTTTGTTCGGAGAGTTCTATAATCTTGGAAAAACGGACCCACAGCTGAGAAAAACATTTGAAAACTTCGAAAGCGGATCTCATTTTTCAAAGTGTACAGTTATTGTTTATCCCATCAAAAAAAAAATAGACGTTGAGCCTAGTAAAATGGAGGTCTCTAATTCATCTCATTTCAGATTTCACAACAATCAGCTGAATAATTTCAGTCTTCTTTTTTTCTGAAATCCAAAAATCAGTGACGAAAGTGTTTTCCCTCCTAGTCCTCTTGAGATTCCATTATCACACTCCTTATCAATAAACGTCAAAATAACAAAGGCCTGAAGCCAAAACATGTTAATGCTCTCGTCATTGTAATTTCCGGTCAACTTTGAACTTCTTTTTGTTTTGAACGTTAAACATTCCTCCTGTTATTGCCTGTCAATTTGGTTGCACTTCTTGGTTAGACGGCAAAACAGTGAACTAGACCACCTTATCTCCGTTGAGTCTAAACTTTTGGTATTTTGATGATTTTTTTACACTATGTTAGACGCCAAAACATTTCAGACATACATCATTAAACCAAACAGCGTTATCTCTTTCAAGGCCAAATTGTTAAGTTGTTATGCGTTAAACCTTTATGATGGTATTTTGTTTTTTTACTGATAAGATCCCAAAATGCTCACTATAAAAGGAAACATGAGAGCATAAGAAATCATCCCAAATTGCATCCTGAAAAATGAAGCTTATTATCTGTATTCTTGTCATCTTCGGATGTGCCAGTGCTCAGTTGAAAAACATTACTGCAGAAGCCATCTTGAAATATCACAATGACTTCAGATCCTCTATTGCTAAAGGAACCTATAGTACTATTAAAGGACTCCTACCAGCAGCATCCAACATGCGTAAAATGGTTAGTAGAGAGTTTGAAGCTAACTAGCTTTTGAGCTAACTAGCTTTTGAGCTAGCTAAGCTTTTGAGCTAGCTAGGTTTTTGAGCTAGCCAAGCTTTTGAGCTAGCTAGGTTTTTGAGCTAGCCAAGCTTTTGAGTTAGCTAGGTTTTTGAGCTAGCCAAGCTTTTGAGCTAGCTAAGCTCAAGCTAGTTTTAAGCTAGCTAGTGAAAAAAATGTATAAATTCAGAAATGGGATCAGGGACTTGCCACCACTATTCAAGACTTCTTGAACGGGTGTCCAATAACCAAATTTCCAACACATTTCGGGCAAAATGGGTACACGAAATTACCTATGCTCTCAAACATTTCTGATGCCGAGGTGAGTTACAAAATAGAATTTCGTAATTTTCATTTGTAATTTATCAGGCATTAGACGCCGCGAAAAGTTGGGAGATAGAGCTCTTTTACTTTGGTTTGTCTTCTATTCAGTTCAATAAAGCCACTCTAACAAAGACTGCTACTCAGATGGCATGGGCTGACACCGAATTCATTGGTGTGGTGCGAAGAAGTGTGAAAGCCCTCGTCGGCCGGGTGTGTTCGAGTTTCGAATGAGGTGCCTTTATAAAGAAAAGTAAGCGGTTTTGACTTGAAATTTTCAAAATCGCAAACTGATTTATTTTCAGGGGAAACATTTTGAATTCGAACGTTTATCAACAAGGAAAGGCCTGCTCTTCCTGCCCTTCTGGATTCAAGTGCGAGGGTGATTCTGGATTGTGTGTCAGAAATTAACAATTATGTTTTTAATTTTTTTCCCTTAATCAATAAACGCTCTATTTGAAAATATTATTCTGATCGAAAAAATGAAAATTTCTAGATGACATTAGCACCACGGCGATTCAGTTACTTATTATATAAGAAACCATATTCTAAAAATGGAAATAATTTGAAACGGTAGATGTTCTAAAAGAACCCAGTGTGACAGAGACAAGAAACATCCTTAAACAGACTTCATAATATAGGGAAACAATTTCTCTCGTGGACAGGTAAGATGTTCTTTATCAAAATAATCATAACAACTAATCAACCCTAATTTCATTCAAAATAATGTTGTTGGCTTTCTGTATTCTCTCTATCCAAGGATTTGGCAGCTTCCTAGGAAGAATTTCTATATCAGATTTTCAGATATCAGAATTTCTGATGTCCGGTAATAGAAATTCTTCAGAATTTCTGATATCAGAATTTCTGAGATCAGATTTTCAGACATAAGTTTTTCTGATATCGGAAAATCTGATATCAGAAAATCTAATACCAGAAATTCTGATATTAGATGTCAGATAATAGAAATTCTTCAGAATTTCTGATATCAGAATTTCTTTATCAGAATTTTTTTATCAGAATATCAGAATTTTTTTCTGATATCAGAATTTCAGAAAAGTTTTTCGGGAACACAATATTTCAGCCAAGATGCCTCTGAAAATCAACATAATTGTTGGTTTCTTGAACAATCCCTTGAACTTAGGCATCGTTTTAATTGAAACCATTTCTGTTTCTTGAAGTTTTAATATTCCAGAACTTTGGAAAACTATGAATTACTGTTTCAAAATTGATTTAGCTAATTTTCACAATAAATAACATTACTCGTTGATTCATACAATATAAAGGAACTGCAAAAAGAAACCAAGATATTTTGAAAATTATGGGAATTTCAGATCGGGATGGGCTGGGCATTTAAAAAATTTTGAAGACTAGAGTTCAGAACGGAGTGTAATTAAAAATATTGAAGACAACAAAAATTTCGGACTGTGATTTCAAGATTTTATTTCATCTTGGAAGAATCCGGAACCACAATGTCGGGTTTATCAAATATGATAATCATGTTTGTTCAGAATGATAATTTCAAAGAGATATATATACTTTATTACTTTAAGGAACAAAACTTTTCAGTCATCTGAAGGCCATACGCACAATCCGGCTTAGTATCACATGTGTATCCACAGGGGCAGGCAGAGCACATCCTTCCTGGAGCATACATGCGAGAAAAGAAGAGAGATTCTCTGAAAATGTACCAAATTGCGATTTTGTCTACTTGCCGAAGAGCTGATTCCGAGACAGGCTGATTAATCGCTTTAATATTGAAATTATGAGCAAAACTACATACCAAATGATAAAGCTCTACAACCTCCAATAAACATTAGCCGATTTCGAGGGCGTTCTAATGGTCAAACGGGTATTATAACATTTTCGAAGCCGGCAGATTTTAATTAAAATCTATAAAACTCGCCGAGCTCTATTATGTTGTATTGCTCAACATTTCAATTTCGAAGCAAGTTACCGAAAACACTTCAATAGAACGTCCCTCAGACTGTCAACTTTGAGCCCATATATCTCAGTTTCTGGAAAAGATATCAAAAAGTAATAAACAAACAAATTGTTCATCATAATATCAGCAATATTTTATATGTTGACCACTTTTTGATATCTGTTACAGAAAATGAGACACATAAGCTCAAAGTTGATAAGTTGGGTGGCGATCTATTAAAGTGCTTACGGTATCAGCCGGCCCACAAGTATGTAATAAATGACACTCACGGTTCTTTATAATGGCACACCACCGAAAAAATGTACATATTCGGCTGGGCCGGATCTCTTCCGCACTTCTGAACCCCACATCCAACGAATTCTGCGTCAGCCCATGCCATCTGAGTAGCACTCGCGAGTCCATTCAAGAGGGAGGCTTGATCCACCATACTTGAGGTTCCTCTATAGTCTTCGAACTGCCGCGCCCAATGTTTCGCGGCTCTCACACCCTGAAAAATTAGGAATTATAACTGATAAGTCATTAGAAGTTTACCAAGCCATCAAGACTGTCTGAGGACTCAGTATGATCAAGGTAAATGTTCTCTCCGATATTTGGATGTCCAGATGGACTTTTTGAACAAGTGTCCGCGTAGTCTTGAGCAGACTCGGCAAGTTCTGGATCCCATGTCTGAATTTATATATTTCTTTCACTAGCTAGCTTGAAACCAGCTTAAGTTTAGCTAGCCTAAAAGCTAGATAACTCTTTACAAACCATTTCCTTCATGTTGGCTGCTTGTGGGAGGAGTCTTCCAGAAGCTCTGAATATTCCTCTGGCGATGTCAGATCTGAGGTCGTTGTGGGCTTGGACGATGTTGTGTTGAGCAGTTTCATTGAACTGAGCACTGGCACATCCGAGGACGGCAAGAATAGAAAAAATGAGTTTCATGAGCCAGAATTCAATGTAGGACTGATTTATTCGGCTGTTGCGGTTCTTTTTTATGAAGAGAATGTGGCCTGTTCATCAGTAAAAAACAAAATACCTTAAGAAATGTTTTAAGTAGAAAACAAAAAGTTCAAAGTTGTAGGTTTAATTGTTTTGTATAAGGTAAAACTGACAGGAAATAACAATGACGAAAGCATTGGAATGTTTCGGATCACTCTCTATGAGACAACATCGGCCAACAGGTAAAGGGCAAATAACTAGGACAAAATAATTTAGGAATACGAAATCCACAATTTAGGGGTACAATCTAAGCCGTTGTTTCCTATTTATTGTACTTCCGAATTGAGGATTTCATACCCCAAAGTTGTCTCGTACTCCAACAATCCTAAAATTTCAGTACACTCAGGATTATTGGCCGTTATTGGGGAAGCAAACATTTAAAGGGTACAAAATCCTTGATTCGGGGGTATAGGGATTTTCGAGGCGTCTGAATCGACACAGAAGCATGAGAATTGAGTTTGGAGCTCCGAATGAGCAATACGTCAGTCAGAAGAATCAATAAAGGTGATTACTATTTTTATTGTATGAGTTCTTTAATTTTTTTCCTGTAAAACAGAGGAAAATGTGGTTAGAGTGCATAACATTACATTCTGACCATTGCGATAACATGTTTTGTCTTCTATCCTTTGTTATTTTGACTAAGGCTTCCATTCACAGGTGGATCGCGCAGAACACTATATGGGCGCATTGTGGCCCATACTGGGAATGCGCGCATATAGCGTTCGTTATGCCCGCTATATGGGTTGGTGGTTGCTGGTCGGTGGTGGTGGGCGTCCAGTTAGCGGGGAAAGCATATGCCCCGTCCGTGCTCGCATATAGGATCCATTTTAAACTGCGCACATCAGGACATGTTCCAGTGCTCCAGTTCTTATGTGTATTAGAACTGGGGCGTTGTGTGGAAGAAGAGCCTCCATCTCATACGATGTGGCATTCATTGATTACATATTCTGAATAGTTTTTCAAGTGTTTTAATATCCATTTGCTTTTTCAATCTCATAATTGCTTGGAGATGCCCAGATCTCTTCTGAATCATTTCGATCCGAAAAGAAGAAGAACAAACGAAGGAGATGGTAAGGAAAATAAGATCTAGAAATAGCTAATTACTGTGGTGTAGATACAAATAATGGAAGCCGATTAGATGCGAATGTAAATCAAGAATGGGGTTTCGAAACTGTGGAAGACGATGAAATATGGGAAGAGGATGTGGTTGACAGTAGTATAGAGGAAGAACAGTTGGAAGACGAATCTGAATGGTTCTCCAGAGATGTGGATACCGAGAACAACCTCGATGGAAAGGAAGGATTTTCTGGTGATTCTAGGGGATACGAATAATGACTGGAAACCGTGAAATTTCAGAATTCTCGAAACTATTACGGAAGGCCGGCAGTCGAGAACTACAAGTATTATTCAGTGCATGCATTAATCGCTTATCAGAGAGAGGTTGTAAGCATTGAAATGGAGTGGTTATCATAAAATTTTTGTAGGATTTGACATGTTTCTTACGACTTATGATAACGAAGATTTCGTCAAGAATGTAAGGAAAATCTGGAATTTTAGAAAAAATGAAACCAGTGTTTATTTTTTCTGCAATCAATGTGGAAAAGATTGTGAACGGGGACAAAAAATATGGTAAGGGACTGGATTGAATTCGCCTTAATTGCAATCTTTTCAGTTGTGGAACAGAGAGCATTGCTAAGTTTGTTAGAGTCGGAATTGTGTCACAATTGGAAGAGCTGGTCAGTCACTACTTTGAAGATATCCTGGATATCCGAAAAAAACTCATTGACGGTTCCGTACCAGAGCATAATCTTGCAAGTCAATACCTGGAACATTTATGGACATCCGAGTCTCATGGAGCTCTCAATCTATCAGGAATGCTGTCCATAGATGGTGTGAACGTCCCTGGACAGAAAAAGTAACTAGGAGAGACGGTTTCATTGTTTATAGTTATTCTGTAGGAAAATATGGCCCATTTCGTTGACATTACTGGATCTGCCAACTTCTCTGATGCAGTTAAGTAGTAACATACTGATGGAAGGGATTTTGGAATGTTCCGAGAACCCCTCTACAACTCTATGGAATACGATTTATCCAATAATAAACTCTGATTGCAATGGGGTGACAGGAACTGTTATGAACAGACCGTACACATTTCACTGTGTCACTGTGTCAGCCGACCAGCCGGTAAGAAAAAGGGATCATTTCTCACTAGATAACTGATTCAGGCAAAACGTAGTTTGTTAGGTATGAGGAGTCACCAATGTGCCAACTCATGTTTCTATTGTTTAGCACCGGGTTCGTTCTTCAAAACGGATGGTCCAGGTAAATATGGGAGATGTTAGAAGGATTCACAAAGTGAGTGTTACAGCGAGATATGAGATGAGTACAGAAGATGTCAAGAGAGATAGCGAATTGGGTTTGAATGGATTTGGGGATGTTCCTTCGAAGTTTTTGAATTTTTGCCTTCCTTACGAAACTCCAATAGACATTCTTCACAACGTTGGTGAAGGAGTATGTGAAATGATAAGTAAAGGTTTTAAGAATAGATTGGAACCAATTGAAAAGTACAATGTGTTTTTAGAACTTTTCAATTAAGATGGGGGCACCAAAAGAAAATCGGAGTTGTTTGCCACCGTCAATGTCAACCAGCTACATTCATGTTTATCCAGTGTGGTTCTCCCATCCGAGTTTAGGAAAATTTCACAGCGTCGGAATGGAACAGACAAAACTAATGTAATCGGTAAATGTATAACTGCGATTTTCATCTTGTTAATTACAGTTCTTTCGTCTCCAGCTTTTTCTCGCTGTTTTGAATTCTGAGACTCTGGGAACAAAGGCAAGACTTGTCATCATTGGTTTGTCATTAATTATCAACAAAATGTATACTGGTGGACCAAACATAGACCAATTTTATGAAAAACTGTGTTTCTCCGTTTCCAAATTGCTTCTCTCTGAAAGTGAAAGGTACATGCCATGTAAAACTCATGTAAGACTGACTACCAATAAGGCTTGTTTTTAATTCATATTCAGGAGCTACTTTTCCATTTACCCTACGCCGTCAGCATGTTCAATAATGTTGCTCCTCTTGCCACTTACAGCTTTGAGTCTTTCTATCAGTTCTGTTTATTGGGCTATTCGTCAAAAATGACAAGAGGATTCTGCGAGACAGCTTGTTCCAGGTATCAATGACAAAAGCCTGTTGAAAGTAATGAAATTTTTTTTCCAGAATTCTTCTTCATAATGCTGTTAGGCGGGAGTTGATGGTTAGAGTAGATCAAGATGATTCAGAGTCATTCAGGGATTTCCTTTCACTAGTTCCTAATATCAAGAAAAAGAAAGCATATGGTAGAAATGTGATTAACTCTCTGAAACCAGAAGATTCAATTGTAAACGGCTGCTCATTGTTATACTCTCAGTTGTTTCTACCGCTGGGAACACTGAAGTCGGAATATTGGGACACTAATAGCACGGGTGATATTTTTTTTGTGAAAACCAATGGCCAGTCACTTTGTTATCGTTTTATCGCTGCTCCTCTGATAGACGGTGATCTCGATATTCTTGCAGAATACATTATCGAAACGGACAACAGCTTTTCTTCTCTGAAAAGAAAGGTCGAAACTCTCACCGGTAAATCATATCAACATGGAAGGAATATTTTGGAAATGTTGTGTAGATACGAGGGTGTGAAAGTTGGAAAATTGTCCGGAAAGCGACACATTTTGAAGACGTCAACAATTACTTCAATTGGTTGTTATGTACACTTTGAGAACTCGCTTTTAATAACAGCAGTCAATGGTGTACCTATTCACAATTGAATAATTTCCATTTTCATAAAATTCTATTAATAAATTAATAATTGAAATTAATAATTGAATTAATAATTGAAATAACGTTTCTGATGGGCCGGAAGAGGTACAGTTGACAACCATGCGGGGCCTTGCAATTACGGGATGCCGCACTGTTGCGATAGCTGCTCGCCCATTTTTCTCCGCCTTCTTCTTTTTGCTTGCCCCAATTTGGCCTTTTACCGTCTCTTAAGAATTCGTCCTTTTTTCCAGAAGATTTGGGAGAAAATGGTGGTCTCGGAGAAAAGAATTTCTGTGGCTCGTGTTGTTCCAGTCGGTTGTAGTGGACGAGGTGGACGCGGTGGACGTGGTGGACGTGCTGTGCGTGGCCGTAAAGGACCCGCTCTGTCTTCGACTGAGCCAAAAATTCTACAGTTTCCCCTAAACGTTCGTAAGCCCATACATATTTCTGATTTACTATTGAATTCTTCAGAATACATCACTTCCACAGACATCAGTAGTTCCTGTTTCGCCGTCAAACGAAATCCCGCCATATCCCATCTCATACACATTGACACCGTCGCGTCAACGAAATGTTTCAGAATTTGACGACGATTTTCAACAAGATTTTCAATCGACTGATTTTCCATCGACTTCGCAAATTCACCTAACTCCCTCTCAAACTTTTGAAGAGAAAAAAACTCCAAGTATGCTGATTGAGCCGTCGTATATTAGTAGATTAAAACTAAGTTGTGTTGGAAATGTTTGTGTTTTACATCATCATGCTCAAGAATTATCAAAATTACAGACAGCAGCAGAATCGACATCGGTTTCTGAATATGATTATGAAAACGTGAAATCGGAAGCATCTTCTCGAAACCGCTGGAACCCTGTCTCCTTCGGAAGATCGAATTACTTCGATTCAATCAACGGAGTTCCACTCGCCAACAGTATTATTGAGGTCAGTGTCATTTGTGAATTCCTCTGACTAAAACAAATTTTTAGGTGAATAACAACAAGCTAATCAAAAACGACCGAGAAGCTGACACTTCCGAATTTCTGCAAATTGCTGCACGTGCTCACGGCACCAATTCGGAGGTTGAAAATCTTGCGTTGGGCGTTGCTTGCCTCACAGAAATGGTAATAACATTACGTTTTGCACTGTAAACCGACAACATAATATTTCAGTTGAACAAAACTTTACGTCGTCTAAAAATAACGGAATCGGATGATTTGAGATCCAATGAACCGTTCGTTAACCCCCAATGCGGGTTCGATCTAGAAGAAGCCACGAATATCGGAGATGTCGTCGTTTTGCCAAGTGGCAGGACACTAAAAATGTCAAGCTGCATTTCAGTTCTCACCGCATCTAGTTGGACGTCTTCAAATTATAAAACGGACGCGAAAAGTTTAGTCCGGCACATTTTCACCAAAGTAAGGATTTCTCATCTCTAATTTTTATATTAAAATTATTAATCCCATTCTCATTGCAGGTTGCTGATAAAGATCCGTTTTTTCCCGCATATTCCGCTTCTAGCGAATCCAATAGAGGATACACTCCACTAGGAAATGCCTTCTTCGAAGTCGTCACAAGTGAGTGTCCTTTGCTTCAATTACCTCGAAAGAGTGTTTCATTGTCAGACTTCGTCATTGCCGGCTTCAGACAGTCGTCTTCTCTCCCTCTTCAAACTTATACAACACGACTCGTGAGAGAAGTCATTGATAACTTGTTGTGAGTTTAAAAACTTCCATCTTAACATCATTTATATAACTTGTTTAGGGATCGCCAACGATCGCAACTCGCCAAAAAAACAAGCACAAATCCATCGAAATTGGCTGAAGAGTTGAAAGCACAATTAGAAGCTTGCAATTATGCTCCTCAAATGTAACTTTTCAAAACCTCAGTTCACACCGCTTTTAAATTTTTCCAGAGTGATGTTGAACTTCGAATAGAATTGGACCAACGCGTTTCGTTCGTGGTTTCCGGTTCGCTTACTGGTTTTTTCTTCAATCTACTGCTCACTTCCAAAAAATCAGGTCCTTCGAAAACAAAAATAAACAATCGAGTCGGATTCCGCAAGCCAGGATGCGAAAATCACTTAATTTTTTGTTTTTTTTTCCCCTTCAATTTGTTCCCGTCGATTGTTGTAGTTTTTATTGGTTATTAATAAACTATATTGATAAACGTCCTTTTCAGTTCACAGAGATTATAACCTGGGGGAAGAGCGGGGATGCTGTGTGGCGGCGTGGATCCTATATGCTTTGGTTGGCGCGTGGATCCTATATGCTCGCACAATGCGCCCCTATATGTTTCGTATTGCGAGCATATACGGCACCGCGCGATCCCATATAACGTTCCTCGCGATCCACCTGTGATTCGGTCGGCGAATTCAGCCGACCGACCGACCGCCGACCGAGCCGACCGACAGCCGACCGAGTTGACCGATCGGTCGGCGCGTCAGAGTGTATGCACACGCGTGCATCGTATTTTACGACACACGATTATATATATTTTTTTAATAGCATTTTATCGTCGCTTTTCTGATGATTTTCTCCGTATTTTACTTTAATTTTAAAAAATATGTATTCTACAATGAAATCATGCAAATATCGGATGTCTTCAACCTTTCAACGAAAAATGAATTTTTCCGGAGATCGTTTAAAAAATCGCAGCTGAATCCCCAGTTTTTCGACAGTTTTCTCCAGAAATCCTTCGCAAAGTAGGCTCAACAAGTTACTCGTTCGGAGAATTATTATATTCGTCGCCTCTTGCTGTTCTTTTATTTAATTTCTGAATTTCTGAATTCCTGAATTTCTGAATTTCTGAATTTCTGAATTTCTGAATTTCTCTGAATTTCTGAATTTCTGAATTTCTGAATTTCTGAATTTCTGAATTTCTGAATTTCTGAATTTCTGAATTTCTGAATTTCTGAATTTCTGAATTTCTGAATTTCTGAATTTCTGAATTTCTGAATTTCTGATTTTCTGAATTTCTGAATTTCTGAATTTCTGAATTTCTGAATTTCTGAATTTCTGAATTTCTGAATTTCTGAATTTCTGAATTTCTGAATTTCTGAATTTCTGAATTTCTCAATTTCTCAATTTCTGAATTTCTCAATTTCTGAATTTCTGAATTTCCTCCAATTGTATCTCCCTAGAATTCCAACAAGTCTTAAAAAGGGGGCATTTTCCAGAGAGTACCAATTCATTTTCTTCCTAAATTCAATTAAAATTTCTCTCTCCGTTTTTCGAAAAATAGGGGGCTAGAGAAAAGAAGAGGAGGAAAAAGATATTAATTGAAAAAAAAAGAAACCCGCCCTTTTTTATTTTAGTACTCTTGCCGCCGCCCCCCGTTTATCCAATTTTCTTTTTTTGGACAAAAAAAAAGAGCCCAATTTTTTTTTGAAAAAAAAATCCAGGAGAAAGCTTTTTAAGCGGAGTCTAGGCTCTGCCAACTTTTGGGCACGCGAGGGGAGAGTGATACATATTTAAATGTGCTCTTTTTACCTTTTTCGGTGAATTTTTTATCCTTTTTTGGAACAAAAACTTAGATGGTGTTGTACTTTTTCTGTAAAAAGATCGAGTTTTCACAATTTTCTGGGGTTTTAGATAAAAAAAATCAGAAAATCAGAAATTGAGAAATTGAGAAATTCAGAATTTACAAAATTCAGAAATTCAGTAATTCAGAAATTTAGAAATTCAGAAATTCAGAGAATCAGAAATTCAGAAATTCAGAAATTCAGAAATTCAGAAATTCAGAAATTCAGAAATTCAGAAATTCAGAGAATCAGAAATTCAGAAATTCAGAAATTCAGAAATTTCAAAATTCAGAAATTCAGAAATTCAGAGAATCAGAAATTCAGAAATTCAGAAATTCAGAAATTCAGAAATTCAGAAATTCAGAAATTCATGAATTTCGAATCAGAATTTTTACATAAAATGATTTTTAAACTTAAATTGAATATATTTTCGAATTTTCGAAAAGCGATTCAACGCCAAATAATGCTCCAAACTTTTATATTTTTTTCCTGTTTCAAACTTTTCAAAATGGAAAGTTCTTGTTTGCTATTTTGATGTGTAAAGAAAATGAAAATTTGAGAAAAATCGCTGTTTCACAGATTTTTTAAAAAATTTCAAATTTTTCGTTTTTTTGTTCTGTCAATGGATGCAAAAAAAACTATTCTCCATCTTCTTTTTTGACCATTTCTCTGCGCTCTCTGCACAATTTTCTCTCTCTCTCTCTCTCTTTTTTTTCCACCCCAAAGAAGAATACAAAAGTTCCCATCACCGTCATTTCGTTTTTTTTCCTTCTCGATGATTTTCCCACTTCATAAAACGCCTTCTCTCTCTCTTCTATCTTTTTCGATGTGATCGGGAATCGTTTTCATCAAATTTCTCTCTTTTTTCTCTGCGTCTCTTAAGTTTGTTATAGTTTATGATGATCTCTAGACGATTTGTCGGTTAATTTTGGAAGACAGTTCATTAACCTTGGAATAGTTTTTTCTTTTAATTGGAACGAAAATTTTTTCGAAAAATCAATTCTTGATTTGTCATTGAAAATTTCAAAAGAAAATTCAAAGGCGATTTTGTAGGAATTTCAGATTTTTTCTAATTACCGTAAAACCTCTAATAGAACGACACCCGGATCGTCCACTTTGAGCCTACAGTACTGGCCAAAAAGGTATTCGCAAATAGTTTTTTGAGAGTAACTTTGCTGAAACTTAAGGGATCGATCTGATATTTTAAGACAAAGTTTAAAACGGTAAAAGAAACTGATTCAACAACAAGAATAGTCAAAATTTCAAAAAATTGAAAAAAAATCGAAAAATTCATGAAAATTGCAAAAAACCGGTAAATGGAACTTTGACTTCTGAGATCTAGGATAGACCGGTAAACGAAAAATAATAATAGAAAATGAATAAAATAGCTTTAGTACTTCGTTGGGAAGCCTTTGGCGTCGATTACCGTTTGACATCTTCTTGGCATCGAGTCGAGAAGGGTGTCGATGACAGACATCGGGATGGCCTGCCAGACATCTTGGAGTTGGTCGAACTTCTGGTTGGCATTCGAGGCACGAACCCCTCTAAGCTGTCTCTCGACATGCTCCCAGAGGTGTTCGATCGGATTCAAGTCCGGAGATTGACTTGGCCAGTCCAGAAGATCCACGTGGCGGCGTCGGAACCACTCCTTGATGTGCTTCGAGGTGTGCTTCGGGTCGTTATCCTGTTGGAAAACGAACGCCCGGCCCACAGTAGACCTTGCCCAGGGTCTCATTGTGTTCTCCAAGATGTCTTCATACACAAAGCGATCCATGATGCTTGTAATTCTTCTCAGCGGGCCGATTGAAGTCCCAGAGAAGCAGCCCCAGACCATCACCGATCCACCTCCATTTTTGCGGTTTGGAGTTGGTAGCTGGGATCGAACCGACATCCAACCGGGACGGCGAATCCACTTGATACCGTCAGTACCGAACAGATTGAACTTGGATTCGTCGCTGAACACGTGATTAGCCCAATCCTGACGTCCCCAGTGGAGATGAGCTCTGGCCCATGCTACGCGGGCGATTCTGTTCTTCTTGCTGATCGATGGTTTCTTAGCTGGCCGTCGTCCATGGAGTCCAGCATCTTGAAGACGTCTTCTGACGGTTCTCAGGGATGGTGTGACTTCATTTGGAGTCTTCACGACCATCTGAATGTCCGTAGAACTCCTCTGGGGATCCTCTCTTGAAACTCGGACGATGTTCCGATCCATGTTCTTCGACGTGATACGCGGTCTTCCAGGCGATTTTCGCTCCACCAAGGCTCCCTAAACATTTTTTTCCATAACTATACTATTTTTGAATATTACCTCATCCCGAAACTGCGTCAAGATCTTCTCGATGGCACGTTTAGTAACATTGAACTGCTGCGCCAAGAGGTCCTTGGAACATCCACTTCTGAAGCCGATGACGATGGCTTTACGGATGTCCTGAGAGATGTTTTTTTTTCCGAGGGGTCTGGCCATGTCTGTAAACAGTTTTAAATACATAGGAGCCAAAACCAACATTCTTAGAAACCATAATATCCAAAAATATAAAAATATGAAAAAAGTGAAAAAACGAAAAAATTGAAAAAATTGAAAAAACAAAAAATTTCTGAAAATGATGCAATTTCCTTGTACGCAATTTGTCGTCACCATGTACGACATGCACAGTAAAATTTTCAGATCGATCCCTTAAGTTTCAGCAAAGTTACTCTCAAAAAACCGTTTGCGAATACCTTTTTGGCCAGTACTGTATATATCTCACTTCTTTTGAAAGATATCAAAAAGTGATTAACTAGTAAAATGTTTATCAGGATATCAGCAACATTTTACTAGTTAGTCACTTTTTGATAATTTTCACAGTAAATGAGATATATAGGCTCAAAGTGGACGATCCGGGTGTCGTTCTATTAGAGGTTTTACGGTAATTGAATTCGAAAGTTTTGTAGTTTTTGACTTTTTATAAAAAAAATCCTTGAATTGCAGAAATTCAGAAATTCAGAAATTTAGAAATTCAGAAATTCAGAAATTTAAAAATTCAAAGCCTAATCTCAAATATTGCGATTTTTAGATTTTTCTGAAATTCTGAACTTTCCAAGAAAATAATCTGAAAAATCAGTAAAAATTCTAGAAATCCAAACCTCTGAAATTTGAATATTCAATTAAAAAAAAAATAAAATTTGAAAAAACCAAGAAAATACTTATTCCAAGACTCCCAAAAAAGAGCAGATAATTCAAAAATGGCTTTTAGGGGAAAATTCTATCAAAAAGATCAAAAATTTAGAAAATACAGCTTAAAAACTAGCTAGAGCAACGGAAACTATACCAAAATGACAAGTAAACAAAGCAAAAAATATTCGGCCCACAA